ACATATATAAATTTGGAAATTTCTAAATTGGTGTTAACTTTGGATGTCTAATTTGGAATAGGAGCTGGCATGTCAAGTCTTTTAAATATTGCTCAAATTGCAATGTTTAATGTATTCTATTCATATATTTGGGGAAAGAATACATATTTTCTGTTATCCTGCAGCTACTTTTAAAAGTTTTCTTTGTGGTTTTTTTTGTTTTTACTAAAGCATAACTTACATACAATGAAGTGCACATATTTTAAATGTACCAGTCAATGAATTTTACATATATATATATATTTCCATGAAACTACTACCCAAATCCAGTTAATTTCAACATAGAGGAAGTTCCCTTGTGCTAGGTTCTAATCAAAATCTTTTGGAAATCTAGCTACAATGCTGAACTCTGTAGATTAGTTTTGCCTGTAACAATTTATTTTAAAGCAAAGCTACTACTTCTCTGACTAAAATCTAAAATGTGATTTTTAAACCCCACTCAAATACTACTATAGGAATCACATCTAGGAGCCATATTTTTTTTTTTTTGACATCTGTTTAAGATCCTGTTTTGATGTTAGCACATAGCTTTATCACCTCTAGTCTTAATTACTGTAGCTCTTTCATAACTGAAACCTCAGAGTAGTATAGAAATATTCAATGATACTCTTATGCTTATTTACCTTTTAAATGATTTAATACACATTTAATGCCCATTATTATTTCATGGATGTAAAGCACTTAGTATATAGTATTAGTTTAGGAAATAATACTAGCTTCTTTCTTGTAAATGAGAAGGAAGCACAAAGAGAGGAGGGAGGGAGGGAGTAAAAGAAAAAAGGAAAAGAAAAGAGGAAAGAAGGAGAAGGGAAAGGAAGGAAAGTTGAGAGAGAGAGAGAGAGAGAGAGAGAGAGAGAGAAAGGAGACATAACTCAATTTCCAAACTCTTGGCCCAAAACAGCCTAAAAATAAGAGTCCTGTTTTCACATGTTACTTCCTTCTCCCCTGTGGCAAGAATAAAATATCTTCCCAAACACTGACTAAAACTACAAATTCGGCCAATGTGGAAGAAAGTGGCACGGTAAATGAAAGGGCAAGGGTGGACTGGAGAGTGGAGCCCTGCCAGCTTCACCCTCAACATCTGGCAGGAGCGAGCTGCCAAGCACAACACTGTCTTTGCCATCTAAAGTTCGAACATTCTGGAGACTGAAGACCTTAAACAGAATCATAACCTTGTATTACTTCTGAAAAGGAAAGTCTCTTGTAAAAAATTGTGACAATCAGTAAGCAAGGAAATACAAAATGTTAATTAGTTATGTTCATCTACATGGGTGTCGGATGTTAATTTGAGTAAAGCGTTCACTGAATTAACTAGCTAATGTGGAAAGTGAGAGGCAAGTTCCATTAGCCGTTTTGCATGGTGAGACATAAATTAGCTGCACTCATCACTCTCAACAGGACCTGGGCTGTCTTTCCAGTTTTAGTCTAAACAATTAAATAATTATTTATAATTTAAACTTAGTCTGGGTTCGTTAATATGAAAGACTGAGCATCCTCTATCTTCTTGTTAATTTTTATCATAGACATAGTTTCCTCCAATTTAACTATCTATTATCTCCTATGAAGTAGCACTAAGGATATCACTTTCTTCATTAGTTTAATTGGCTTACTGATAACAGTGCAAACATTTACTTTGTAATTCACGGCTTTTAATACTGAGCATTCTTGAAAACTTGCATAGGAAGTAAGGAAGTATGTAAAAGAGGAAGCAAGGAAGTAAAACAGAAAATATACAACTTCAGGTAGATATCAATCAGCCAAAATAACTCTTGCTGTGAAACATTCCAATCAAAAGTGCTCTGCTGTCTCCCAATCACATGACAATTAAATGAAGGATGTACATTAGTTGGCAAAATAGCCAAATGCTTGAAATGCCAAATGCAGCTCTTCTAAGACATCGCCTGGCCTGACAAGCACACAGCGAAGCGGCAGGGTAACAGCAGTGCGCTGTAAAGACGACGGGCTGCAAGGAGCCAGCAGCCACTTTTCTTCCTCATGTCCAAGGCATCACGGTCACCCGACATCGCTTGTACCATTTGCTGGTTATTCTCAGGCAGAAGCATGGAACACCGCCTGACTTGCTGTGGTTCACTCTAATCTGAGTTCACAGCTAATAAATACAACTCTTCATGCTTAAACGTGCTTGAGGCTGCGGCTGAACTCTGGATGTGAGTACAAGGGGAGGGGAGAGCTCGTTGCTAAGCTCCAGGCCATGCAGTGCAGTGCAGAGTGGCTAGAAAGGAAGGGTGGGGAAGCCAATAGAAGGAAGCCGCCGCGCATGCCTCTGTTTGCAATTCTAAGTTTTTCCCGTTTTCAGAGAAACATTCTCAGCCACAGGCCTATAATATGCATATGCTTGATCAAAGAGATTAGGTAGCATAATGTAATCACCAGAAAGAGGATGGTATTTGGTGTGAGACAAATTATAACCCTAAACAAAATTACCTCTTTCATCACCACTCAAATTCGTGCTTGTTTTATTTGGACTAACTTTATGGGGAATGAATTCTAATCTTGGCATTAAGAGAAGAGTAGGGGTAGAAGGTGGGAGGGGGTGTGTAAAATAATGAGCTGTATGTGCTGCCCAGAGCACATTACCTATGCCTGCAAATGCTGCTCAGCAGAGACTGAGTGAAATCTGAAACTACTGTTCAAAGCTCATTGGGTAAAAATTACACTTAAAGTGCTTCTCTTTGCCCAGAGGATAGAAAAGAATCCCCACAGTGGAGCCCCAAATTATTGAAATGAATCAAGAATATTTTGAAGCCTGTTAGTATATGCTGGAAAACTGAGCTCCTATTTTAGGATTTTTCTTACCCAACAATATGTAGTCAAAGAGAATATTTTATGTTTAATGCTGTGGCCTTCAGTTTATATAGGTGGCAGAAAGGGCTGTGTGCGCAGGCTTGTACATGCATGAGTGAACAGAAGAATGTGTATCAGTTCCTGCATTACTGATGTGGGCATTTTTGTAGTTCGTTTAGTGAATATATGGCCAAGGAATGAGGTATAGTGGAAAGGGCACAGACTTTGAATCCCAGTGTGTAACTGTCCCTGAGCCTCAGTTTCCACATACATAAAAGAAAAACATTTACATGTTCTTTGTAGAGCTGTGAGGAATAAATGAGACCATTTGTACCTGGTAAACACTAGCATTTCAGCTTCCTAATCCAGAACAAGATGCACAAGGTGTTCTCAGTGAGTATATTTTATATAAATGGCTATTCTACTTGGAATATGATGACATCACTGAGCTATCCCAAGGCCCTTCAAAAGTCACAATCTAATAAAAATGAATCAGTTTTACATACAAGGCCTTCACATTTTTGTCATCTCTGCATGCTTGTGGCAAGTCCCTGGTGCTATTCTCTCAGACTCTTAATAGTTTAATTAAAGAGCTGTTTTTGAAGATGACAGCTCTGATACATGTATCTCAGAACTTTTAAATATCTCATGATACCTACATCTGGCATGTCCCCAACATGCTTTGTGTATGTTTGATTCTTTGTGTGCATATTGCACAAATATCACAACTTTCACAGTTCAAGTATCTAAATTAATTGTAGACAAAAAAAAGTCTGTTGAGGAGCAAGTTAGTGATGACTGCTTTTCAGCTTCTTTAGGGAAACAGAGTTCTAAGAAGCTCTAATTGGAGATATTTTAGGAAGTTTCAAGGTATGAAGCCAGAGATTCAGAAGACTGAGCTCTTTGAGTAAAAATACCAAAGGTAAATAAAGACTAATATGATTAAGAAATAATATTATCCATTGATGGAGAGAGACAAAGAATAAGAAGTCCAATTGTGCCAATTGTTACTTGAGCAACACATAATTTGGTGCTTTATCTTTATTGCTAAATTAATAAGAAACAGTGTTCTCATCTTTGATTAGATTTTTAAAAGATGATAATTGAGTTGTTAGGAATCACAAATATTAGGATATTGAAAAAATTTCCAACATAACACTCCATCATTTGGCCAATAAACATCATTACTCCCAACAGGATAATCTTGGTGCTCCTTGCTTCAGAAAGTAGAACATTTATTTCATTCACTGTCAGAACCTTTCATAGGAGCACTATACATGTTAAATGAACAAGATGAATTTAACAGTTAATAAAATAATTTAAAAAATATTTACTTAGATTCCACATAACCCTAATTTAAGGGAAGCAGCAGAAACTTTATACCTCTTACTGTTATTCTCTGCCTATTGCAGTCTTCAAATCTGGCTACACATTGAAATCACCTATGGCCACATCAACAAATACTGACCCACGGGATGCAAGTTGAAGAAATTGTGCCACTCTGGGAAACATCCGTAAATGAAAGGATATGCCCTTATCATTTTCATTTTCCTCCCGGCTGAATGGAATGTGCAGACATGGTGCTTGAAGCAGGTGTGGTTGTCTTGGGTAAAAAGACTGCCTCTGGAACAAGGCCACACACATCAGAGCAACAAGGCAGACAGCGGCAGGGGCCCCGGCACCACGTCGGGTCACACCAGCCTGGTCTGCCCACCTGTAGGCATCTACAGGAGAGAGCAGTGAACTTGTCTTGTTCAAAACACCATTATGTAGGGGTTTGTTTGTTTGCTTTTCTTACTGTTGGTAGATATTAGCCCTAATGTGATACAAAGGTCTTACAAAATTTGAACTCAGTTGTACTTCCCGGTCAAGGTGGTTGGGCTGGCCCCCGAATGAGGTTCATGAGGTTTATTAATTTCTTCCTCTGTACTATTCTCATTTCAATTTCCCTCCTAGGTAATTTTTTTCTTTGATTCAGTCTTCCCCAGCCATGTGTGCCCTCAAAATTCTCCTGCTTTTCTTTTCCAATGGCAATTTTCTGTATATCTTTTATCACATTTTAATAATCAATTCAAATAACTGAGTCCTGGGTGAGCATCTATTCTAGGCTTCCAAATCTATATAAATTTTATGGTTATATTTTTCAACACAGGTTTAGGTTTCTAGACAGCAAGGATGGATATTTCTTCAAATTCTCCAGTCTTGATGATGTACATTTTATGAAGTAACACCAACAATTTATTTTCTCCGTTTGGATTTATAAACCAAAACCACCCCTCCCTCTCTCAACATCATAAATATTTAAGAAAGATGTGAGTCTTAAATGCAGAAAGGATTAATATATTAGTGGAAATATTATATAACATTATATCCACATGTACACACACATGTATAGTATATACATATACTGACATATAGTCAATGACTGAGGGTGAATTAAATAACCATAAAATAAAGTTAGTATTATAGTGATAGAAGCAAAAGCTGTTTAAGAGTGACATGTTTTTCAACATTAAATATTCCTATAGCAAATAAAATATTATAATGAAAATTTAAAATCTTTTATATGATTACTATGAATATACATGTTGGTGTGAAAATTCTGTGAAGTTGACTTATCTTTCTAATTAAGAATAGTTGTTTTCCTTTTAAATGCTTTTTATCCTGAGAGCACACATAATGTCAGCTATGAGACCTGATTTTTTAAAACTTATTATTTGAAACCACTTCCTTTAATAGGTATTTAATGAGTCCTCTCTATGTATAAGACACCATGTTAAGCACCAGGAAGAACAAATATGTGAATAAAACAAGGCTGTTGCCTTTCTTTTGATGTAATTTCAACTTACTTGAAGCAGATGCAGATGGGAAGCTGAGGAAGAACCTTCACTCAAAGGTTCTCTGGTTTGTTTAATTAATGAGTTTGATAAATTATACTAGTTAGATGACAGGTACCAAAAGAGGCAAAATACAGCAGCTGTAAGTATTCACACCCACACACACCCACACAAACAGACATACATGCACTTGGCCATTTACAAAGGTGAGTTATTATCTCTCAATTATAAGACATAATCATGCAAACACATTCCGGCTTATTTATTCAACTTTGATTAGATCTGACAGCAGGAAACAGCATTATCTAATGTAAAATATGATGTAATTTTTGCAAAGTTTAAAATACATAAAAGGTACCAAAGGCAAAATCTTACTATTGGCCATTTCCTTGGCATCTCTATGCATTAAAAAGCATCTGGGGATCAACTGAAAATGAGATATATATTATCCCAAGAATTAAGTGTATTAAAGTTCATCTTAGTAAATTATGGATTTCCTTAAGGCAGTAACAGTTACCACGTTCATTTTGCTAAGGTATTGCTGGTCCATTACTGAACAGCTGAGAAGAAATGATGTGGACTTACTTCAATACTGAAGTATCCTCTGTCAACATAGTCCCCTAAGAAGAGGTAGCGAGTGTTGGCAGGAGATCCCCCCACTTCAAAGAGCTTCATCAAGTCAAAGAATTGTCCATGGATGTCACCACAAACTGAAAGAAAGAAAGAAAATTAATTTATGGTCAGACTGTGTTAAGAATATGAATTAGGTAACAGAAGTGCAAAAATTTTAAAGCCAGAAAGAATTTAGAGGTCACCTTGGCAAAAACATTCTTTTGCAAACAGGAAAGTGGACAGATTCCAAAATGTATTAGTGGCAGACCTGGCTCTAGCATCTAGTCTAACAATTCACAGATTAACTAGAAAAATAAAGATAACAATAATAATAATGGCTTTTATTTTTGTGCATTTAACAATTTTGGACCAGACACTGTGCTAAGAAATTTATACATATTTTCTAATTTAATGCTAACAGTGTCACAAAGTAGGTTTTCCTTTTGCAGATAAGAGATAAGGCAAAGAGAGGTTGAGGAATTTGGTGTAATCCATACACAACTGAGATCTGAATATAGAACTGCTACATGTTATTTCCTCCTGGAGAACAATATTGATATGTATCATAAAAATTGTTATTTCATTGAATCTAAAATGCTATCAATTGTAAAACACATCATTATTTTATGTACCCCTAAGGAAGAAAAACCTCCAATCAATTGTAGAGGAGCATTTTTGTAAGATGTATTCTAAAAATCAGATGTTAAACTGGAAAAAAATTGTGAAATAAACAAAAAAAGTCCTGTGAAACAGTAGGAAAAAATCACTGGGAATTGATATTTAACTTTCTCATCTTCTTTTTTAAACCAAAATTATTGAAAGAGCTATGTTTGCAGTCTCTCTTTTTAAAAACCACTTACTCAGTACTTGTTTCATTTACTACTTTCAAAAGCATAAAAACATAAACATGATCTTTACTTTATGGATGAGGAAACAGTGTAGCTAAGAGATAGAGCTAGGCAAGGTCACTCACTTTAAAAATGGATGACCCAGGGTTAAATTCAGGTTGCTTAATTCAAAGTTTTTCACCTTATAATAATATCTTTGATACTCTGAATGTTTTATATATCCATATATTTAATATTTTTAAATAATTTTATGCTTGAATGATGAACATAATGTGGCTGTTGCTTGAACACTAAGAGGTTCATGGAATAAATGTATCAATGAATATGAAATCGTGTTATCTTAACATGCTGTATTCTGCAATCACAAGCAAGTTACTGAAATATCTTCAACTTCATTCCTTCATCTTTTGAAAGTTGATAGAAAAGTCAAAGGAGTTCACTGATGAAACAACTGTAAAGCAATGGATAAGTAAAAATGTCATATAAATTCCTATTTTTAAGATCAAGGAGCAGTTAATAACCCAGAGCTCTCTACACCTGAAACAGGTACAGGTGGACTCTTACCTGCTTAGAATGTCTGCATTTGAAAATCTTAGAAACTGCCAAAACAGAGGTAAATTACAAGAAGCTGTAACTACTAATGCATCCCTTTTCTGGGTTCCAATCCCTTTTCTGGGTTCCAATACATTGCTTCTTCCCTCAGGTGAGCAAGAGATACATTGTAGAAATATCAGAAACACATTCTTCTAGTTTTCTTTTTTTTCAGGTGAAAATAATTTTAATAATGTTTTTTATTATCATTAATCTACAATTACATGAAGAACATTATGGTTACTAGACTCCCCCCTTCACCAAGTCCCCTCCCCCACAAACCCCATTAAAGTCACTGTCCATCAGCATAGTAAGATGCTATAGACTCACTACTTGTCTTCTCTGTGTTGCACATCCCTCCCTATGCACCCCCCCACATTATACATGCTAATCATAAGGCCCTCTTTCTTTTTCCCTGCCCTTATCCCTCCCTTCCCACCCCTCCCACCCAATGCCTTTCCCTTTGGTAACCATTAGTCCATTCTTGGGTTCTGTGTTTCTGCTGCTGTTTCGTTCCTTCAGTTTTTCTTTGTTCTTATACTCCACATATGAGTGAAATCATTTGGTATTTGCCTTTCTCTGCCTGGCTTATTTCACTGAGCATAATACCCTCTAGCTCCATCCATGTTGTTGCAAATGGTAGGATT